AAGGAGACAGACTTGGCCCAGGATTTGCCAAGCTTTGCCTTTGCAATGCCTTCTGCAGGCTCTGTGTCTTTTGCTTTGCCTTCTGCAGGCTTGGCTGCAGGCTTCTTTAAGATGACTGGCTCTTGGGCTGCAGGTTTCTTCAAGATGTCTGGCTCTTTGGCTGCAGGCTTCTGTTTCACTTCCAGCCTTCTACAGGCTGCAATCAGCTCCTCAGGCCTCACCATGGATGAACTTTGGATTCCTGCAACAGAACTTTCCACATCCCAAACTTCTGTGGGCTGAGGCTCCTCTTCTTCTGCAGGCTCTGCTATGATGAGCTTTGGTCTCTTGCCCTTGCCTTCTTCAGGCACCATTTTCTGCTTCAAGCTCTTGTTGGCTTGGCCTTCTTCAAACTTTTTTTTCTTCATGGACACATCCACAATAGCCAGTAGCCTCTGGATGTGGGGTGGTGTCTTCCCACCAGTCTTGAGGTTCCTTTTTCTTTTCTTCAGGTAGCTGACCACTTCATGGAATGCAGTGGCCAGCAACTTGCATTCAGAGATGGTCAAGGACCCTTTTGCTAGCTTCACAGCTTGCCTTAATTCAGGCTTGTTCAGGCTTGGCCTCCTCAAAAACATCCCTAGGAAGTGTTCATGCCTCTTGCAGGCATCTTCATGGTCACTAGGCCATTCTGCAGGCTTCAATGCATCTGGAAAACTTTTCAAAACTGTTGCAAACTCTGCAATGCCTTCTTCAGGCTGTAAAGGCAGAGGTGCAGCCATGCTCCCTATAGCTTTGCTCAGCTGTATCTCCCTGTGTACTGTGTGCATGTGTTCATGTGCTGTTTTTTTGGGGTCATGCTTGCATTTTGCCATGCTGCTCGTGCTCTGTGTTGTGCTCATGCTCTGTGTTCTTGAACCAAAAAGCTGAAAGTCTGGAAGCCTGTTTTTCAAGCTTCCAGAAGCAGCTTCTGGAAGCCACAAAGTTGGCTTCCAGAAGCTGCTTCTGGAATACTCAACATCAACACAATTCAAACTTTCCAAGAAGCGCTTCTCAGGCAAGAAGCTTGATTTTTTGGCTGGCAGCCCTTTTTAGGAAGTATGGTTTTGAGGCTGGCAGCTTTGTTTCAGAGCTGTCAGCCAAAAAAAACAAGCTTCCAGAATGCACTTCTTGAGGCAAGAAGCCAAAAAAATTGCTGCCAGCCTTGTTTCTTGACTTCTCGGAGCTTTAGGGTACTAGCGGCGGCCTCCAGCCTAGCGATGGCCTCCACCCTAGTAGCGATGGGCTCCAACCTAATAGCG